ATGTATATACGGAACGTGTGCGTAACTCAAGTGGTTCAAGTGATCTGTGGCACTTGAAAGATGCTGCACGGAGTATCTAGCGAGTTGAACGAAAAAGTCGATTTTGTGATTTTAGTTTCAATATATTTCATTGCCTTTTCTTCATTTTTGTTTTGGCATTTTTCGAATATGATACCAAAGCGTTATATGTGTGACAAATGAGACGAGGTAAAACAAACAAATCTGTTTACACTCGAATTGCGATTTATGGTAATTTCCAGTGCGCCATTCAGCCATTTGTCTGTCTGTTTAGCCGACTTGCTGTTAGGTTTTTGCTTTGAGTTAGTGTTGCCTTTTACTTGGACATTTATTTTGTTTGTTTTAAGCGTTTGAAAAATCTCAACGGATATTTGTTTTGCCGACAAACGCACACAAACAGTAGGAAGTCGGGGCAATAAATAATTTTCAATGCTGATTTTAGCAGATTTAAAAAAAATTAGTTTTCCTCAAGTTTTTTTTTCAGTGATTGCGATTGCCAGCTGGGACAGTCGGAAAAAATAATTTAGCTATAAAAAATAATAAATGGTAAAAGTTTAAAACTTGAACCTTATGTATATCATTATTTCAAAATGCATAAATTATATTTCTTTGGGTCCCTTGTAAATCTTTGCTGACACCTTCACACATCCCCTTTGTTCTTTTTTTTTGTAGGCGTCTCAAAATTGCCGTTACTAATGATTTTAGCTGTCATTTTTTGAACGTCACGCCAACTGAAAGTTGAAGCTGTGTACAAAATCGAATTTCTTGCTTAGTCAATCATTAAAAAATTTAAATAGTACATACATACCTACATATGCACATACCTTGAAATGCATACATAAATACGTACGTACATAAATATTTATTTAGCTGCCTATGTGAAACCTAGGCCGTTCCAACTGCCAAGGTAGTGCGGCTTAGAAACCTGTGCTCCCAGACAGCATCTTAAAAAAAAAATTAATACACATTTTTATTAACATACTGTCGTTAGAATAAAAAGCCGTAAACAAGAAATGTAGATTTTTTCAGCCACCAAAAAAGTGTTGATGTTTTTTCGAAAAAATTAACGGTATCGATGTAAATCGCGAAAAACTTTTACACACTTCTTTTCAAGATGGCGGCGATTCCACAACCCCTCTGAGTCCCGCAAATCTATTTTTAACATCCTCTAAACCTACTCAACAATAATCAAAACGATTTATGGACCTTACCAAAAATGTGCAAAGTTTTGCTAATTTCACTTTATTAAAGTTATTTTCAAATAAAAAATTAATTAAATTAATACCCTATCAAATTGAGGGATATGACATTTTCAAAACTTTTTTTTCAGAATTTTTTCGAGGTACAGATAAAAATAATTAAATTATAGACGAAAATTGATAACTAGACTGATATTTTTTGCATGGTGCTCACTTCTTTTTGAATACAGAGAGGCTAGTCGCAGGGTATATAAAACTCGATTTGCGATACTCAGTTGGCCGTGGAATTGCCGCCATATTGGAAACAAAAGCGGTCAACGTTTTTTCTTCCTCAGAAGAAGAGTTATATATTTGAATATTTCAACTAAATTCAACCCACCGTTAGTATTTATATGTGGTAGTCAAACATTGGAGGGATCTTGCTTTATCTATCCGCAATTTTATTTTTCTTTTATAGAGGGTTAAAGTTTCCACTTGGGAAAACCCTGACCCTACATATTTCTTCTTCATCTTCTTGTTTGGAGTTCAAATCCAAATCCTCTCCCACCTGGAGCTGGATTCTGTTATTGAGAGTTTTCAAGTGTACACTGAAAATTGTGTGCGCTTTTCATTTTGCGATTCAGTAAGTGTAACTGTCAACTGCCTTCCGAAAAACTCACTGAATTTTATTCTTTGAGTTTTTGGTTGTGAGTTTTG